GAGGGAGCTATACTCAAAAATTGCATGTCCAGAAAAATTGTTCTAAAAAATGGATGGGAGGTGGAGTCTCGAATCTTTTTGTAGCATACATATAGTTTACCCTTGCCTGCCCCACTAAACAAAATCCTGGCTACACCTTTGCTGGAAATGGGGCAAGAATCCCTGCTTTTCTAAAAGGTTAAATTAAACCCAATGAAAAAAATTACGCATGTTTTTTAAATAATTTATATTGAAAAATATAGGTAAACAAATTTTAAAAACTTATTTTAATAAAAAAAAAATTTAAATTTAACTGTTGCACTTCTAGTCCAGTTTTTTTACCCTTTGTATTTTATTTTAAAAATAAAAATATAGTTTCTGAGCAATTTTTAATTATTTGTCAAATAAATATTAGAAATGATAAAAACAATTTGAACCAAAAATATAAAAAAATAGTTTCATACACTGTGCCTGTTTTGGCTTTCGAGCAAAAACAATTGTTTTTACCTACAGGGTGTATTTTTTATTTTCTTATAAAATGCCTTTTAAACTTGTATTATTGGCAAAAACTGTTAATAATATTATAATATGTAAATTAGACTGGGCCAAAAAAATCAACAATTTTTTTTGAGAAGTATATCAAAAATATAGTTTGGGGTGACAAAAAAAAATTATTGTAAAAGTTTGAGTCCATAATATTAAAATTAAGAGGTCTATCATCGAAATTTTTTTTCCTCAGCAAGTTTTTGTCTCAAACTCCCATTGAGTTAAACAAAATTGACTTTAAAATATTTTTTTAAGAAAATTGAATGCTCTACAAAAAAGGTTAAAGTGAAATTTTCCGTCAGAAGAACCGTTTCCTTAAAATCATGACTTAAAATTTTTTATAGTTTTACATTTTGATCTTTTAAATTGGAATTTTGTAATTCATGTAAAAATCAGTACCCATAAAAAACTCATAAATATTTTTATGGGAAATCAAATGCTTTACAAAAAAAGCCTCTCAACATTTTTGGCTAAATTCACTCAATCAAAAGTTATTCAAGGTTAAAATTTCGTTTTGGAGTGAATTTAGCCAAAAATGATAAATAACTTTTTTTGTGGGGCATTTGATTTCCCATAAGAATATTTATCGTTTTTTTTCCGGGTACTGATTTTTACATGAATTACAAAATTCCAAAGTTAAAAGATTAAATTGTAAAACTATACCAATTTTTAAGGCATGATTTTAAGGAAAAATTTTCATTTTATTCTTTTTTGTAGAGCATTTAATTTTCTTAAAAAAATATTTTTGAGTCAATTTTGTTAAACTCAATAGTTTGAGTTCTGAGACAAAAACTTGCTGAGGAAAAAAATTTAAAATTGCGATGATAGACCTCTTAATATTAATATTATGGACTCAAACTTTTACAATAATTTTTTTTGTCACCCCAAACTATATACCAATAATATTAATATTATGGACTCAAACTTTCACAATAATTTTTTTTTGTCACCCCAAACCATATTTTCGATATACTTTTCAAAAAAAAATAGTCGATTTTTTTGGCCCAGTCTAATGTATATTTAATTTGAAATACCCATGTTGTTACCCCTTCAATTCATTTTCTTTTATGTTTAATAGTATATTTCTGGGCCTAAAAATCCCATCTACCTTGTTAAGCCCTTTACCCAAACCTACTGTTTCTATTTAAAGAGCAAGCACATAATTGAAAAATTTAAAAGCCGAAAATAAGTTGAACATGGTTTAAAATTTAATTTTTTTTTAAAGTATATAAAAAATAAGACAAATAATTTTTAAACACAATTTTGGTTTTATTTTATAATCCTTATTATTTATTAAATAGTATTTTTTTATTATCTAGGTATTATATTAAAATGTAAACATTTATGGAAGGTATGTATGTTTTTAATAATAAAAAAATAATCAATTATCAATCGTTCAAAGTTAGGGGTAATTATTTTACAGTGAAACCAAACAAAGTTATAAATCAATTGATTTCAAGCATTCAGCTTTTCAATAAGACAAAAAACAGCAAAGATATTTGATATAATTAACATGGTAGTATTTTTATCTTAAAAAAATGTTATTTTTGAATTATATCTTTGTTATAGGTATGTTTACCTTCTGAATTTATTTTTTCATATATATTTACAAACAAAAATACTGTCTATTTTTATCCATATTTTAAATCAGTCGTTAACGACTGATATAAATTATATCAACCGATTTACATTTTAGATGTAAAAAACAAATCTAGTAAACCATGAATTATATTAGCGAAATTATTTTCTATGGTTAAAAGCAAATGTCACAATGTCAAATAAATCTTGATTAAATTTTAATTGTTTTATGTTTAATTTAAAATGTCAATGTATAGAAATCTACTTTTTTAGGGAAAATTTAAACGTTGAAAGATAATTACCGAATTTATTTTATAAAACAACAGTTTTTAAAGAAAAATACTGCGTTGCCATGTCGTGCAAAAACCTATATCCACTGATATGCTAAATCAGTTTATATAAATAAATCAACGTTTCTGCATAAGGCCCTAAATAACAAAATAAATTGACAAACTGAAAGACAAGCCAAAAGGACGAAAATGTCAACAATGGGCATCCTTGTAACGAAAGTAACAGTGTGCTAAAAAAGCTTGTCGCTTACGATAATTTAGTAATAACATAAAAAGTCATCGATATAGGTAAGAAGACAGACAAGGCATCCGGGCTTGTACCACCGAAACTTAGCCGTGTTTAAAATAGTGAGAGAGGGGCAAGAAAACTTTCACATTCATATAAAACCGCAGCTCTACTATAACCGACGTACTTTTCACTTTAGATCCTCGAACACTGTGTGTCACTGTTGTTAAAGTGTATGTAATGTAAGAACAATTTTTTTTTGGATATAGTGATAGTGCCTTTTTGTGTGGAGTGAGCATTTTAAAAGGATTATTAAAGTTTGTGCGCAATTTTGGATTAAAACTAGTAAGTGTTGACAAAAAAAAATAATAACAAAAAAATATTGATCTCGATAAAATAACGCCCTTGGCGCTGTGTACACATATATTTTAGCACACGGTGAATATTGAGATCATATTATCAAAGTCAGTGTGTCAGTATGTTTCCTATAGGCATGCGCGCTTTCTTTAACAGGTGCATCTTGATTCGATACACCTTAAGCTTAAGCCATTAGGATCTTGTAAATAATTTTTAAAAAATTGGTTTGGTTTTTAAAAGGACAGTAGTTTCTTTAATTGTTATTTCTAACAATTACATTTGGGCAATTTTACTTAATTACGAAAATTTATTGACAAAAATAAAACCTTAAAATTTAAGATTTTACAATAATTGTAATAATTAAAAAAATTAATATTTAACATAATATAAAATAATCTTAATTTGCGGAATTTCATTAACCCTTTCGCTCACGAATTATTTATAAAACATAAAACAATATAATTATTTGCTATTTTTTGGTACCTCAAAATTTTTTTTCTCTGCCAGTTTCTTTTTTACAAGGTGTGCTAAAATTAGGACATGAGAATGTGAGAAAATGGATAAAAATTCAGTCAAGTAGATAAAAAAAATTGTAGAAAACGATGTACTAAATTTAGTACGCCATAAGCAAAAGGGTATAGTACCTAGCGAAAAACCCATTAATAAATCAATGCAAGCAAAAAATAGGGGTAGAATTGACCGAATATACATAAGATTATTGTATCAAAAACATAATTACAGTTGAATTCGTAAAAACAGTTATACATATCTTCAACATTAACAATTATAATTATATCTTATAATTTCTTAATAAATATAATGAACAAAATTATTGGTTCGACTTATTCGAATACAAGTCAAGGGTAACGTTATATGTAATTAAAAGTAAAATATTTTTTGTAATTTTTGTGTTAAATTAAAACTACAGTAAACAGCTAACAGTAATTAAAAAACTAGTTGTTGTTATTATGAAATGGACAAATTTGTAGTAGGTATAAGTAGCCCATCTAAAAACGCATATTAATATTTATATAACTTTCGAAAAAGTTTGAATAAATAAATAACAGAACAAAAAGTAGAAAATGCAATTATTATGTCTTAACAAGGCATTTATATTAATAATTGGTAACGCTGTATGATGCCGCATGTAGAACAGAAAATTGACCATTTAATAAAAAACTTTGTTGTGATACTATTGCAATATGCATTGTTTTTTTGTCTGCATTGTTTTACGCAAATATTAGAAATTGTCGCTATAAATGTCGAAAACATTTTTTTTCTTCACAAAATTGAGCACAGCGATAGTAAGTAGCAGACACTATGTTAGATCAGGAAGATTGTTCCACTTTCTACAATAGCGTCTGTATCGGAGATATTTTTAATGCTTTACTATGAAGTACATACAAATGTACAACGTATTAAAATTTACGCGGTCACGGTTTTAAATTTCAAATTCCAATTTCCTGAAGAAAGTGAATACCTTCTTATGCTTCACGCTTCGACAACATTTTGGCAACTTTCACCGTTACATTTCGGACCCTCATGTGAACAAGGGGATAATAGTTACCAGTTTAGTAACGAATTTGGCTTTATTTTAAAATCTTAAAATTATCCAATTATTTATATTGTTTGTTCTAAAGTTGATTAATTTTAATGGTTTACATTATTTGTTTGTCAACAAACGACATTACTTGATCTTGAAACAATGTTTGTTATAAAAAGTTACAAGAACGTTAAAATTTTAACACCATTAACCATCAAATGATGGTTAACAATATTTGGGGAGAGTAGATCATTCGTTATTTATTTTATATCCGTGGTAAAACAGGACGAAGCACAGTTTCTACGACGATGAGTGTGTTAGTGGGTCATCGTCTTGTCAGGTGCAAGGAGTGGTATACAAAGTGTTTACCTCTCTCGCTTCGCGCATCATCATTGACAATTTAAACCGATGGCATTTTTTCTTATTCCTAATTGCTTTCATTTATTTTATTTGCAGATACCGCTTGCCGTTTGGGTACACCATGACAAGGTCACTTAAATTTTACATTGTTGCCAACCTGGCTGTACTACTATTAGGGGTAAGAGTCCGCTACGTCTGGAAAAATTATAACGATACTGGGGTCATTATTGACTAATAATTATTACAAAAATAGTTGGCAACAAACTTAAAATCTATCGCCTGATTATACAAGATTTTCTATATACATATATATACCGCTGATTTCAATAATTTTTTATGCAAACAATTATTACTCTAACAGTATCCTAATAGTATTTCACAGATTTCAACCGTTCTTAATGCTTATTTATCGTAAAACGTAAACATGCTATATTTTTAATTAGTTATTAGCAAAAAGCTTAAATGATCCATATTGTTATACTGTTATTAACTTTACATATTCAGCCGGGTTTATGATGGTCATTAGGGTGGCGCAAAAAAACCGACTAAATTCTCGCGTATAAATATGTTACTTTTTTATGTTTTAAGAAATCTTATCAAAGATGAGCTCAAAAAAAAATTTAAAGGGTCGATCGAGATTTTTAAAATTTCCAAATTCGTCAAAAATCGAATTTTTTTTAAATTTTTTTTTCCTTGTTACGGTAGAATTTAAGTAGATACTTTGCAAATTAAAATAATTATATGATTGATTATTTTTCCTTTATTATTTTTTCTTTTTTCGTATATTGTAAAATTATAGCCATTTAATTTTGTAAAAACAGATTTTTTTCACCGACGCAGCAAAATTGCTAGATCTTTATTTTGACACCATGTTAAGCCGGCGCTATGAGCGACCTTTAAAAATGAATATATTGAGCTAAAAATTTGAGAAACTTTTTTTTTTTCGTCTATAAAATTCTACCGTAACGAGGAAAAAAATTTAAACTAAATTCGATTTTTGACGGTTTTGGAAATTTTTATAAATCTTGAGCGACTCTTACAAACATTTTTTTTGAGCTTATCTTTGATGAGGGTTCTTAAAATATGGAAAGGTAACAAACTTTCGCCACCCTATTGGTCATATAGATCCAGATGATCTTCAAAATAACATCTGGCCAACGAAGCCCTGGCTACTAAATTGGAAGTGAATTATCAAAATTTCACTAAATGCCTTTTTTCAGGAAATCCATTGCGACGCTCCGCTATCAGACTCAGCCTCTCTACCTTTGGAACACAGGGCGGTTTACGGTCCGCCACTTTCCGGTCCTGGTTACGCGCCGCCCGCGCTGTTGCAAGGGGGCGGCGGCGGCGGAGGCGGCGGCGGTGGTAACTCGGACGATCCGTGGCCTCTCGCCACACCGGACATGCCGCAGATCAAACATTTGCAAGTGCAGTGCGAGAAGACGCATATGCGCGTCAATATAGAGTTCGATCGGCCATTCTACGGTATGATTTTCTCCAAGGGATTCTACAGCGATCCCCATTGCGTTCACCTGAAACCCGGTACCGGTCATCTCAGCGCCACCTTCGAGATTTTCCTGAATAGTTGCGGCATGTCGTCGTCGGCCAATCACAATGCGGCCAGTTACGGCGGACCAACGCCAAGTGGAAGCTACGTTGAAAATACCATCATCATCCAATATGATCCTTACGTGCAGGAAGTCTGGGATCAAGCCAGGAAGTTGCGTTGCACTTGGTACGACTTCTACGAGAAGGCGGTGACGTTTCGGCCCTTTCAAGTCGACATGCTCCACGCCGTTACAGCAAACTTCCTTGGAGACAACTTGCAGTGCTGGATGCAGATACAAGTAGGCAAAGGACCTTGGGCTTCCGAAGTGTCGGGCATCGTGAAAATCGGTCAAACGATGACCATGGTGTTGGCTATTAAGGACGACGAAAACAAATTCGATATGTTGGTGAGGAACTGCGTTGCCCACGATGGCAAACGCGCTCCAATACAGCTGGTCGATCAGTACGGTTGCGTGGTGAGGCCGAAGATCATGAGCAAATTCCAGAAGATCAAGAATTTCGGACCGTCAGCTTCCGTGGTGTCGTTCGCTTACTTCCAAGCGTTCAAATTCCCCGATTCCATGAACGTGCACTTCCAATGCGTGATACAAGTGTGCAGAAACAACTGTCCAGAGCCAAATTGTGGCGGACACGGTCTCGGCTTAACCAGCGAATATGGACCACCGCAATTGGGAGGCAACTCATTGGGCAGCGGCCACTTCGGCGGACAGTTGAGCTCCGAATACGGCATACCGCCGGCGTCCGAATACGGTCTACCACCAGCCTTCCCAGATCCCAGACATCCATCCGGACCCACCGGCGCTTACTCCGAGCCCAACCCCGACGTAGTCCCAGCGCCGCAAGCTCAAACATCCTCATCGTCCACCTCCAACCCGCCTAACCTGTCATCACCGGCGCCGCAAGCTTCCGCCCAAACCGGCAACGACATCCACTTACCTCCGCCGCCGCCACCAGGCCACCACGGCGCCTACAACACCGTGAAGAGGAAGAGCAGCATCGCCGATGAGTTCGAGGGTAACCTAGCCACGCTAGGAGGCCGTCCACGATCCGTCGAAAACCTACCAGCCGAACTGCAAGGAGCGCGAAGAAGACGTAGTCCGCAAGTAATGAACATCGTCGTCAGCCACGTGTACAAACGCGAAGCGCAGGAAATGACGGACGTGAACACCAGTCGAACCATCCAGGTGGTGGCCCCCGGCGACGTGAACTTCGCCCTCAACTCCGCTCAAAGCAACGAAACCGTCGTGATACAGTCCGCATCGTCGGCGGATCCGGAAACTATTTGCATGTCGGTGCCGAGCTTCGTGGCCGGTCTGGTCATGCTGCTGCTCGTGCTGATAGTCTCCAGCCTGGTGGCGGCCTTCCTCTTCGTCAGGGTACGCGCCATCGACCGCAAGGGGGTCGCGTCACCCTACTCCCACGGAGCCAGAGGATACGACAACGCCGAGTTCGTGAAAGTGGCCAATTGACGTTGACGTGTGCAGAGAGTATGTGTGCAAAATCATCCGATGGTTCCAAAGATCACTTCAGGTAAACAGGTATGCTACGAGAACCAACAAATTTACCCATTTCGTTGATATGAAATTAGTAAATTTACACGAGCAAATAGCATATCCATCTGGAATACCTTTTTCCATGTTCAAGCAAAAGCTAGTTCAATCTGGAAAAATAAATCGCGATGTAGACCTTCATTCAGCATTATTTAAACAATTAACTCCTCGTTGATCAAGAAAAACTTTAGTGAATTGCTTCAGGATGGTCATATAGAAACCCAGATGAAGTAACATCATTTTTTAGAATGCGGTGTTGAAACCACATTCTAGTCAGATCTATGCAAGACATCCATGGTTTTATACAATTTTTAATAACTGGCGCTTTCACCTCGACAACTTTGGTAATATGTTAAACAAATATTAGAAATATTCCCCAACACCAAAACAAAACACAAAGTGCTTAAAGTACTTTTCGCCAACGATGTTGACATCTTCAGAAGCGAAGAGTTACAACATCGTTGGCGAAAAGTACTTTAAGCACTTTGTGTTTTGTTTTGGTGTTGGGGAATATTTCTAATATTTGTTTAACTCCTCGTTGATAAAGGCTGCTTCAAGAAAAACTTAAGTGAATTGTTTCAGGATGGTCATATAGATCTAACTTAGAAAACCAGATGAAGTAACATCATTGTTTAGAATGCGGTGTTGAAACCACATTCTAGTCAGATCTATGTGAACCATCCATGATTTTACCTGAAATTTCGCCAACAAAGCCAAGTTAACCATCAAAATCAAACAATTTTACTAAATGGTGTCCCAACAAGAACTTGACATTTGGTTCTTTTTGGACACCATTTAGTAATTTTTCATAACTGGGACTTTTACCTCGCCACGGTGCTTTTGTTTCAAGAGCGCTACACAGCATGTTTCGGTCTTTTGGACCTATCAGTGCCGGGTGTGAAGCACGCTTTGAAACAAATCTACTGTGCAACGGACGTGGCCACACATCAGGCTCCACTACGGCCAAAAAGACTTGGTTAGCCATTATTCGCAGTGTTAACATTCCTAAACATCAATACAATATCTGGAATACCTATTTCCGGATGGAAGCAAAAGCTTGTTCAATCTGGAAAAAATCTATCGCGATATAGACTTTGTGAACGTTTTGCTGGGAAACGTGTGCAGCGTTTATAAAAGAATCATTCATTCAGCATTATTTAAACAATTAACTCATCGTTGAATCATTTTTTTTCGTGCGAGCAACAGCGCTGTGCTGCGCTGTTGCCAGCATGATTCTAACCTTTATTTATTTGTAAGTAAGTTATTTTTGTATGTTATTCAGCTAATCAATAGTTGTTATTGGAGATCAGATCAGTCAAAACAGGGTTAACATTTCTATTTAACCCAACGATAATTTGCTGCCCTTTTATTTCATCAAAATCGGTGCAGATACTAGTCTTGTAGGTAGGTTGTAGAACACTTGTAAATAAGTATGTATGAAATACTCACAAATGAATTAAATTCTGCTAAATTTCAACCCCGATGTGGATCTCTAGAGATTATCTGTAAATCTTCAGTATTACATTTCTTTTTATTTATCTGTTGTTTTTTGTAATATACCGTAAATATATTTATTTATTTTATTTAGGAAATCTTTTTAAATTATTGTATGTCTAAAATTAATTTTCTTAACGGAAAATTAACATTTTTAAATAAACTAATTTATAAACATATAACAAGTTGTATCAGTTTAAACACCTCGAACTAGTTCATAACAAAAACATCCTGAACGAATGAACATTTTGTGCCACATTTTAACATATTCAAATTTTTAATCCTTTCTCCCAAAAGAAAGTCCAAATATCTAAAATCCTGAAATTTGCTTATGACCTTAAATTTTATCAAGTAAAAGTATAACATTAATATTATTTGGTTCAAACTTTCTTCGCCATCATTATAATTTCAGCGCTCAACTCATAGAGGGCGTAACCTGTGCAATCGCGATTGTACCAAGGTTTTTTCGAATCGATAAATTTATTGGAGCGTATATTCGATGATTTTTTTTATGTTGTTTACTATTTATTAATTATAAATTTAAACACGGAATTCCCATATTAATTAAATGAGTTCAATGTAGTGTAAAGCGATTTCCAATTTTTTTAAATTGATCGACAAACAAATAATCAAGGGAAGAGGAATGTTTGAATTGTGCGGGCACTTATTCACCCATTAACGCATACGATAGTCAACGTTATGGTACGGAAAACAAGCTAAATGATTTTTAATTGAGTAAACCTCATTAAAATTTATTTATCCACGACGAAAAAAACATGTACATGGCAGAACACCTGAAATTTTCCAAAAGTCGTGTAGCTTCACCAATCTACTAACCAGGACGTTTCGTTGTCCCTGGTTGCTCCAGTGTAACTGACTTAAATATAAATGGACCTGTAGCTACTTAACTTATATATATATAATAGCATATTAAATGCGCTTTAAAAAAATAAGAAATAAAGAAAATTAAAAAAAATATTTGACTTTCCAATTTTTTTTATTTCGTTTGAAATTGATTTAAAATACTTTTAAACATAAAATATTTTTATTATGGGTTGGTTTATTTTTTAAATAAACCACCCTGTATAGAAATATCAAATTATTAAAATATACATGATATTTTTGAAATGTCGTCTCAAAGGTTTTTACAAAAAGGTAAATACACATATATATGTCTCGACTTAAAATTCATATTTCAATATTAAATTTCCTACAGAAGTTGAACATATAATTGCAATTTTATATGACATACACTTCCACACACACATAACATAAAATCTGAAATTCAGGAAGTTCAGAACTTGCAAGAAATTTGTTACAATAAAGTTACAAAGTTACTTTTACTATGTATACGAAGTATAATAATATAACTGTATGAAAATTTTTATTAATATCGCGCTTTGGTAATTTGTGTTTTGGTGTCGATTGTTTAAACAAATAAACATTGGGGGTGGCGACAGGGAGTGGGAGTCAAAGGTAAATAATGTGTTTAAGCTGGCGCAGTGATGCTTGCTTCGGTCGCTATAGTAACCATAGGGTGTTAGGTAACCTTTCGCAATGGCCTATCTATGTCATTAGAATATGATATTGTTGATGACAGCCGAGTAATGAGCTTAAGGGTGCTGTTTACTCATCCCCATCCGTAGTCAAAGTCCTTTTGGTCTTAGGTTAATACACAACGCACCAAAAATATAACAGCACCGTGTTTATCCCGTTATCTATAGGCTTTATTATATATCTTCATTGATAAAGTTTCTTAAGTCTTAAGAAGTATCTATGCTACAAAATTTGGCTTTCTAGGATAATATCTTCAAATTCAAAGTAAGTTATCTTGTTCACTTGCAAGTAGGTATTTGAATAAACCAAAAGATAATTTTGATTCAAAATAAATTTATTTATCCGAAATCGGCAGTAAAGTTAAAAAATCGGCAGTAAAGTAGAACTTTACTGCCGATTTAATACGAGTATTGTATGCAACCCATTATACATTTTAAGATGTGTCTACTGCTGCTCAGCAGCAACTAAATAATATTTTAAAAAAAGCATCGTCGCGGAGGTCGATTGGACCCTTTCACAAAATGTTGTTTAATAAAAATAATTTTATTAATTAGATTAAAAAATCGCTGCGGCAGGCAAATATATAATACAGTATACGTAGACACTTCCTACATTCAATATATACAAAAGTTTATATACTATACTCTTTTACTTCCTAAGAAGTCCCAGAAGCCAACTGAATGGTTTGAGCGGGTTAGGGGTAGGAACGGACCGCGGGCTTAAAGTCCCCTCCGAAGGACTAATTAGTATTATTAAATGTGATTTCGGATAAAATTTAATATGCACCTCGGCATTAAAGTCATTTTTTATGACTCACGTGGTTATTTATAATTTCCACATAAAAATACGACTTTACTGCCTTGATACATAAATAACTATTTTATTAATTGGAGAAATACTAAATCGTGTGAAAGGTACAAAAACATATGTCAGAGTAATGCATTTTCGATATCTTATTTACTTCCTGCAACACATTCATAAAACTTTCGTTGATTTTACCTGGAATAATAATAAAAAAGTGTTATAAGTTTTATATGACAATCTTAAACCTTTGCTTTCATATCGGGAGTTTTTATACTCGGTTTTATTTTCTTATAAGACCCTTGTCGCCTTTTTATAGGATGTGGTTTTATTAGAAAACAAGTTATAAAACACTATGGCGTTTTAGTTGGAAGCGATAGCATGCGAAAATAAAGGTTAATAATAGTTAAAGTAAATCTCCGCAAAGTAATATTGTTGAATTTAAAGGATAAAAAGGACATGGAAAGTTAAGCTCGAGCTTTAAAGGGTTTAATTGAAAGAAGTGGCACTAAAATAAAATCGCAAACTCAATGAAATTTAGCAGATTTTATTGCCGCCATAAAATTTATTAAAAATGTCGATCTAACCCACCAAACATTGTAACTTCTTAGCAATACTTTTTTCGAGGGGAAAGTTAATGATTATAAAAAGTTAAAATGAAGATGAAAGTTTTTTAGGAAAATACATCAAAATGTTTTTTGAAATAATGATTATAAATGATCCCTATTACCCTGTTTACACCCCATTCAACTTCAAATAGACCTTGGTAATTTTCTTTATATGTTTTTAAGTAAGTTTTATCCTTTATTGGCCCAAAAAATAGCATTTACGAAACACTTTGGCAAAAATGGCGAATGCGCCGGGATTAACAGTCTTTGCTCACATTTTTTGTCACAAACCATTTAAAATGAATGAAATTTTTACTACAAAATATAAAAATGTAGTAGCAAAAATAAACCTTGGGCATTTGGTAATAAAATCCCTAAAAATTAATTAATTTAATTTTCACCCCATATATTTTTTAATTCTTTATTTTTGTTATTAGAACTAATTATTTTCTACTCAAA